GTCACAAAAAAAGGTACACTTGTGCACACTAGCAAGAAAATTTTCAGCTAGTACTAAAGTTAACTGAAGAGAAGAAAAAAAAACCAAACCCAAAACAAACCACAAAAAGGTTTGATATAATTTCAAGTCTGGCTCGGAGCTCATGAGATTGAATTTTATTTTAGAGGAAAATACAACACTGAGATGAAGACCATAAGTCCTGCCATGAGGTAAAAATTAGATCATCTGCCCATATGCTTGAATTAAAACAGGTAGTAGAGGAAGAAATAAATACCAGCTGTATGAAATCAGGTACAAAGAAAAAAGATTCTACATGTTAAGATAACTGACGATAACATAATTATCCAGTAATCTCCTAATTTATATACTGCTCCTCCTTAAACAAGAGGGGTGATATTGTGCATACAACTCCTCCACAGAAATACCAGCATGCACAATCTGTTACCACTGATGACTGCTCTTGTACCCTTTACTGTATGCGCTCACTGGATGTTACTTCATGAACAGAAGTAGGTAAAAAACAATGCGGTTTTAATAATATTTGTCTGTATTAAAGACTAACAACTTGGCAAGCATATTACCACTAAAGCACTAAGTGTACTTCATTATACTACTACTTTATATAATTACAAAACTACTCACAAGGATATCATGAAGAAGCTTTTCTTTGCTTAGCAATAAGAGCCAGATACTCACAAAGAAGGGTCTTGGACCAGATCTTTAAGGTTTATCCCACTACGATCCTCGGCAAGGTTCCTGAAGCAACTGTCACTCACTAAAAAAAATAGAAATAAAATTAAAACAAAACAAAACCAAATCAGAAAAACAAAAGAGGTGGAAATTTAAGAACAGAACGCAGTTCTTTTGATTAGCTAGAAACGCGTTTTGGTGTTGGGTGTAATTTGAACGTTTATATATAAAGTCTGATTTTCAGTGAGGTTTCACCTAATTTATAGGTAAGTTAACCCAATGGAAAGTGATAAACACTGTATCACAGACTACGCAGAAACAATCGGTTTCAGCTGGTGTCCTTACTACTTCTCCACCTGTGGCTACAGGAAGTCTCAAACACAAACACTGCATGCACAAGTATACACAGATATCCATACATTTAACAGCAGAGTCTTTAATCACGCACCGGTCAGTATTCTTTACCTAATCAGAAACAGTGAGAGTTGCTATGTATTTAAGTTCACAGTTGGTCATGGGTTAGCAAAGGTGTTTAATATGAGCAATAGCCAAAACAATTAAAAGCAAAAATGTATTCAAACAGCTTATAATTAACTTATAAAGTGCATGTAAAGCAGCAAGTTACTGTAATAATTGAAATTACATCACAGTAAATTTCACAGAAGTTTGAAAGAGTATTAGCGTGCTTTCTTTTTCTTCACAACATTTAAAAAAACAAAACCAAAAACAAACCAAAAACAAAACGTGATTTAAACCTGAAACTCCAAATCCGTTCTCTTGGCTAATTCCCTCAGCACATGTACCCCATTCCCACAGGTGGGCTCATTTCTCTTGAACAATGCCACAGTCAGTTTGAGAGGTGGGAAAAAAGTAGTGGCACAAATGCTTCTAAAAAAATCAGCATCAGTTCAAAGGAATTACAGTTATTTCTGACTACAGCAAACTTTCTGAAGGACACAGAGGTTGTCATACGGCAAAATCAGTGTAAGGACCAATCTGCCATAAAGAGCAAGGTAATTTGCCAGATAGAAGGGAGCTTATGAAGAAATGCATTACTGCT